AACTACACAGAGTGCTAGTTGCTATAACAACTCCAAAAATTCAGTGGCCTACAGAATAAAGTTTATTTATTGGTTTAAGTGGGTTCAGGTTGCTGCCTTCACAGGTGATTAAGATATCTCTGCTCCTATCTGTGGCTATCTAGTGGTGCTGCCATCTTCTAAGGATTTCTTGGAGTCTTCTGGTGGATTATCTGCATTTAGCTGGCTGATGATAAAGCTAGAAAGTGTTTAGAAGATCATATGGGAATTTTATGGAGACAGACTGAGGGGCACCTGGGTGGCTCAGTCAGTTATGTGTCCGACTCTTGGTTTTGGCTCAGGTCATCATCTCACAGTTCGTGAGTTCTAGCCTCATGTCGGGCTCTGTACTGATAGTGCGGAGCCTGCTTGGTATTCTCTCTCTCTCTCTCTCTCTCTCTCTCCACCCCTCCCTTGCTCATGCTCTCTCTGTGTCTCAAAACAAATAGGTAAACTTAAAAAAAAATACAGACTGGACAATGGGATAGGTCACTCCTGTTTGTATTCCATTTGCCAGAGCACCAACGTATGATCCCAATCTAACTGCAAAGGAGACTGGAAAATATAATCTCCCTTTGTGTCAAGGAAGAGAAAACGGGACCATTGAGCATCTAGCCAGTCTGTGCTGGGGCCCTAACTAGCTTTTAAATCTGGGCTTATCTCCTCTCTGAGCCTGTTTCCTTCTTTGTAATGTGAGGAGGATGGACTAAGTGCTCTCTAAGGGACTTTCCAGCTCTGACCATCTATGTTCTATAAATCTATCAAAGTTCTGGCTGGGCTCTGAAAACACCCAGCTTGGAGGGGATCTCTGACAGTCCAAGAGGGAAGAACAGTGATCAGTATTTCCCCAAGGATTTTCTAGTCTACACCTGCAGCCTCTGGGAAGTTTATTCACTGCCTGAAGTTCCCAAAGATCAAGACAACTACCTCTCACAGGTGCAGCCTTACCCTAGGTCAAGGTACCATTTTACCAGGTGTGTGTGCAAATATTAATGTGGCCATGAAACTTCCTCCTCATCCCCTCTTCTTCCAGTTCTCATGGTGTGAAAAGTGATGACCCATGGGCTTCTTCCCTAAGATTCTAGAGTACCCAGCCCTAGATAGTCTAGAAAAGGGTTTCACAAAAGGCTGAGCTATGTCAGAGTGATTATGTTCACAAGTTTTCTTCTTTTCTGCATTTTCTGATGATTTGCAATTTGTTTGTTTTCTTATTTATTACCTGACTCCCCATTAGATTTTAGACTCTACAAAGTCAGAGATCATGTCTGCTTTATTTACTGTTGCATCCTCAGGACCTACACAAAATGCCTAGCATATAGTAATAATATAATGTTTTGAATGCATAAATATTACTTAAAAATTGTTGAAGTTTTAGTCTAAGTTCAGGGCAATAGAATTTCTTGGGGGAAGTATGTTAGTAATACATTCGTATATTTAACTACCGAGTAATGTTTTAATCTTACCTGAGTCTACTGTTGACACTAGGAATTTTGGAATAACAAGCAAGAGGCCAATAACAGACTCTCCCTCATGGTTTAACCTAAGCTTAGGGGCCCAGAAAGGTTAACACAGAGAGTGCAAGTACTGTTTCTCCAGGCCACAGGGCATCTGCTGTCAGCATGCAGATGAGCTGTACTTTCTCCACATTATCATAGTAGACTATGTGCCAAACTATGCCTAAGTGGCATGATGGTCAGTTTCAGAGTATGAGCAGCCATTTTTTAACTGGAGAGTGTAGCGGTCTTTTTTTAGTCCCATGTGGTATAGGAATTAGCTTTACTCCTTATTTGTGCATCAGATACAATCTGGACATCCTGAAGCTCTTTTTGTCCCTGAAAAAAAAGTGTGATCGATGTCTCCTCCTTAGCTTATGCTTTCAGTTTCACTGTCATCATTATCTCTTTGAAAAATCTGGTTTCTTTTACTCATCACCCACCCTACAAATTAAACACAATTTGTAAGATAAATCTACAGCCAAAAAAAAAAAAAAAAAAAAAGGAGTAAGAAAATCCTATCATATATGTCAAGAGCCTGGTATAGAGAAGGCCCTCAATAATAGCCCTGCTACCATTAATGTTTTTTTTTATCATCATTGACATCTTCTAATATTAGTAACTGCCACTTACTAAGAATTACTCTGCTAAGAACTGTAAATTCTCTGCATATATTTTCTCATTTAATCCTATGAAGTATTATATTGGCTGAGGCTGTTAAAAGACACAGAACCAGGCAACCTGGCTCTCAGTGCTGATCTCAGATGATTTGCACCCTTCTCTGGAACCAGCTGATGTCATTGATTGGTTTTATTTCTTAATTAGATCATGACAAATTTTTATTATGTAAATCCTGATATTCCTACTTACTAAATCAGTCAATTTACTAAACCACAAACATTCAATTTGTAGAAATATATTTCTTCTTTCAAACAATTCACAAGGATATTTAAGATATTAGCCACTCATTGCTGAGGGCTGCAATTTATGGACATCTTTCCCAAGCCTGAAACTATTGTACTGCCTGGTGCCCTTTGATACTATCACCCAAGTTATTTCCATCTGCCTGATGGACACCAGGCTTCTCTGTGTCCCTGAATAAGTACAATTGTATCAGACACCTGATCCAGCCTTTACTGATGTTCAGAGTAAAGCTATACTCTCTTTGTTCACAGACTTACTGATTCTAAAATCAGAAATGCAAATATGTTTTCTGGCAGCACTTGGGAAGTGGGATTACACATATCATCTTTGATTGCAGATAGAATCTCCCTGCAGATATTGATTATTCTCTTTTTATTGCTGTGGAACTCACTGAGCAATTTCCAGTTCACTTAAACATTTTTATTATGTAACATTTGTTATATAAATAAGAATATATGTAGTGAAATTAGAAGTTGTGAGTGTAATAATAAAATTGAACAACCATGATCCCAGCCCAAGTTTAAAAACCACAATTTTATCAATACCATTGACTCTACCTGTATACTCCTACTTTTGCACATTCCCCTCAGCATCATGCTTTATTTTTTCTTTCTTTTTTTTTTTTTTTTTGTATAATTTTGGGGTAAGACTAGAAATACCTGAAACATTTTGTGACTTAAAAAAGAAAAATCAGCTCAGTTCTCTCCACAAACTTTGAAAAAATAAGCATGATCTCCATGGCAAGCACCCCCTCCCCAAACCCTTGCTTCCCGTACACTTAAATATAGGCTACAATTATTACTTCTCTATTTAGAGATTATTGTGGTTTCAGTTTTCATCGTGTCCTTGTGGGTTTCTTCTGTTTTGGTTGCCATTATAAATGTCTCTTTTATTCCCCCATGTGGTCACTTTCTTAAATACCTTGCTTAGCACGTCTTCAATGGAGTGTAGTTTGACAGCATGTATGCCAGCCTCAGGGACACTCAGATACTTTTGTTCCAATCCAAGTACAGAAAACATGCAATGACAAATTAGGCTCTGTGAATGTTGGGGGAGGGGAAGAGACACCCATCTCTTAAGTGCTGATACTGTGTCAAGTTTCTTTGCCAGTTTCTTCCCAATTCAAAATTCCTATTAGGTAGTTGTCATTATGTCTGTACTATAGATGAGTAAACTGAAACTCAGAGAGGTAGCTGCTCAGGGTCACACAGGTACTAAGTGTCGGAGTCAAGATTTGAAGCCGGGTCTTCTGTGGGTGTGATGGGTGAGGAGACAGTCCAGCCTCGTGAGAGTCAGCAGTCTCATGCCTAGATGTCTGCCCCCACCCCTTTTTCTTATGGACATGGTACTACCCACTACTTATTCACTTCACAGAGACTTTGTGGGGCTTAGTGAAACAATACTTTGGGGGTGCATTGGTGACTCAGTCCGTTAAGCATGCAACTCTCAGTTTTGGCTCAGGTCATGATCTCACAGTTTCATGAGTTCGAACCCCATTTGGAGCCTGCTTGGGATTCTCTCTCCCCCCCCCCCCTCTTTCTGCCCCATCCCTGCTTGTGCTGTCTTTCCTCAAATAATTAATAATAATAATAATAATAATAATACATTGGATTTCAAAGGATAGATACTGTAGCTGTCAAAAGCACCACTGTTTGGTGGTCAAGTAGTGAGCAGTGGACATTTACTTCTGGATCATCATTGTTTGTGGAGATCAGCAAAGTTGAACACCTCTAATTTAGACATGATCCCAAACCTCAGGCCACTCCTGGCCTCACCTATTTCTCTTTACCAAATCTGCTCACATAGCCTCTGACTTGTGTCTTTGCCCCTCTCCTACCCCAGTCTTCTCACCAAAATGAACAAAGATAGGACCCTAAGGAGGAAGACCCAGAAACAAGACTCCTAACCCACAAACTCAGTAACAAGCTTATAAAAATTTTTTTCATTTAAATATATTTGACATACAACATTGTATAAATTTAAAGTGTACAACATGTTAATTTGACACATTTATATATTGTAATATGATTGCCATTGTAGTGATAATTAGTACTTCTGTCATGTTACATAATTATCCTCTTTTAGTAATTGGAATAATTAATCATAGGAATTTTAATAATTTTTAAAAGTGGTATAAATATTACATCAAAAAATATAAAAATAGGTTTGTTCATCACAGAGTTTCAAAATGTAGCTAGTATAGAAACAACTCTTAAATACAGAATGATGGTCACAGCTTTGGGAGCATTTTACAAATGAAAAAGCTTGTATATAATAAGTGGCACCAATCAGTGTCATTCCTGACTCTCTTTGGCCAAGGAATCTGAATATCTAAAAATGATGATTCTTCTCCAACTTCTCTCTGCCTCTGGTATTGGACTGGTTTTCTTCAACAACCTACTGATTGGTCATGGCAACAAGAAACAGTGTTTGCGTGTTAGCATTCTGAAGGTGGTTTGGAGATTTACTCCCACTGAGTTGATAAACTTCCTCCTTCTTAACGGTTTTCTAGACTCCAATCCTAATCATTGCCTTCTTTCCAAATTCTCTGTGTATGTTGCTCAGGAAACAAAAGTGGTTGTAAACCACAGAGGTTGGTTCTCACCAACTGCTGGATTCAACCTGTAGAAAACTCGACAAAGTACAGTCAACCCATTAAGGACCCCAGCGCAACTCCAAAGTGAAGAAAGTGAACTCAGTTTGTATTGTGTAAATTGTACCCTGAACAGTCTCAGGAAGTATCACAGCTTCCTGATTGCAAACCCAGATAAAGTCTAAGGCCACAGCTGCTAAGGACAAAAGCCACCAACCCCCAAAATGAAGAAAAATGACATCTACGGGCTGCAGTTATGAGAAAGTCCCATTGGGTATGTCAGGGTCTAAAACAGAATTCAGATGAAAGAATTGGTTCTGTGTCTCACACAAATGAAGATTCACCTGGAGCTTTAGGGATATTATGGAAATAGGGAGATCTGAGAGTTCTGGCTTCTAATGTTATGAAGCAAGTTTCTGCATGACCATTTCACTGCAGAGCATTTTGAACCTGATGAAGCACTGTTTCAGAAATATAGGGTGAAATGATGGGAGGCTACATATTGGGACATAAGTGGAAAATCTTATCCCTTAAAAATCTCTTCTCTGCTCAACCTGCTTTCACTGCCTGCTGTTAAATATAAAAGCTACTGTGTATTTTCAATATTAAGAGAAAAGACTTGGCAGCTTGAAAAGGAGATCAGAATTGATCGCAAAGAGCAGAGGTCAGGTTCCTTTGCTGACTACTTGTGTGACTTTGGATAATTTAACCTTCATTGTTTTATCTGTTAAATGGAAAGAATAAAGCTACTAGTAGGATTATTGTGAAGACTGGAGATTTTATGTGCAAAATGCCTGAACCAGAGTAGGCACTCAACATATAATAGTTGCTATGCTCTTATTGTTAACCAATGCCTCTGAAATTTATCACCTAGCATCCAATCGGAAAAATAATAGAGCTGGAAATTTCCATTTCTTGTAGTATTATGGATTAAATACTCTGAACAACCCTTCAGTTTGAAGCGAGCAACTAAAATTCTGGGTATAATATTTTTAAATAATTGTAAATACATCCAAAGTAAAGAATTTGTTGATTTCAAAACCAGTAATGAAAGTAGGAAATCTGGCCAGGAAACAAGTGCCCAGCCAGCTATCACTCTGAACGTTTTTTCAAACTCGAGGGAGTCTTTCCTCCTCGACAGCTGTATGAATCACAGCATGGAGCCAGGAGTTACAAGTTAGCTGACCAAGGTGGAGAAACAAATAGGAAAGCCACCTTATCACACCCTCAGTGCAAGGCTGAATAAGAAATCACACTGCACAAGAGATAATGAAGAAATGCCTATCTTCACCTTGGTGCTGGTGGATGAGACAGAATTCTTCCTTGAGAATTCATAAACCTAGTTGGTCCTCACATGTGTTTTCTGTCAGGATTCACTTGGATTTTAAGTTAAAATTTTAATTTAACTATAGTCCCACATTGGTAGCACCCCAGGAAACTGATAGAAACAAAAGCAAATTTCTCAGGAGGAATGTAACTTTAGTTCATATCTCAAAAGAATTCCTACTGGTTGGTTCCAATGAAAATGGACAGCTTATATGTTTTTAAAAATCACAAAATATACAATGGAAACAAGACACCATGAATGAGAACCATCAAAACAAATTTCAGCAAATATAGACCCACAAATATTTCAGATGTTGGAATTGACACAAAATAGATTTCCTAAATCTATGTTTAATATATTTAAAGAAATTAAATGAATATTTGAAATTATGAGCAGAGAAAAATGACAATAAAGAATGACCAAGCATATTTGAAAGCAAATAGAGCTTCCAGAAATAAAAAGGGAATAAAGGACAAATGAGAGAAATAGAAAATAAATAGCAAGATGTTAGACTCAAACCTAACCATATCAGTAATTCCATTATATGTAAAGATGAATGATTTAAACTAGTATTGTTCAATACTGAAGCTCCTAGCCACATGTGGCTATTGGGCACTTGAAATTTGGCTAGTGTGCCTGAAGAATTGATTTTTAAATTTTAATTAATTTTAGTTAATTTAAATAGGGATATGTGGCTAGTGGCTACTGTATTGGGCAGCACAGTTCCAAAGATCCCAATTAAAAAAAAAAAATCCCAGCAGCTCTTCCTGCCCATGGGTCCTGTCCCCATGCTTTAATAAAATCACCTTTTTGCACATCTTCAAGAATTCCTTCTTGGTCATTGGCTCCGGAATCCACGAGCCCCACCAACACCCCAGAACTTCATCATATGGAGCTGCCCTGCCAGCACTGACCAGCTTTTCTCTAAACTCAGTTTTACATTAGAAAGGAACTTTCCTGTATAGATAGTCTACTTTCTTAAAAAAAAAAAAATCCCAATTAAAAGTCAGACATTATCTGAGTGGATAGAAAAAACAAGATCTAATTATATGCTGTGCACACACACACACACACACACACACACACATACACACACAATCTATTTTAAATATAGAACCAAACAGGTTAAAAGTAAAAGAATGAAAGGAGATATACCATGATAACACTAATTAAAAGAAAGCTGGAGTGCCTATTTTAATATCAGACAACACAGATTTCAAAGCAAAAATATTATCAGAGATAAAGAGTGATGTTTCTTACAGATAAAGGAGATAGTTTCTCAAGAAAAGGCCACAATCATAAATATTATGCAACTAAAAATAATGCTTCAAAATACATGAAGCAAAACTGCAAGGAAAAAATAGATAAATCCACAATTACAGTCAGAGTCAACACTACTCTCTCAATAATTGGTAGACTAGACATAAGCAACACTATCAAAAAACTTGTTCCAATTGACAAATATAGAACATTACATCCAACAACAGAAGAATAAGCATTTTTTTGAAGTACACACAACATATATATTTTTTAAGTAAAAAAATTATTTGCCATATGAGACATAGAAGTAGTACTAATATATTTAAAGTGATTCAAATTATACAAAGTTTATTTCCAATCATAATGAAATTAAATAACTCAATAACAGAGGGACACTTGGGTGGCTCAGTTGGTTAAGTGTTCAACTCTTGATTTCGGCTCAGGTCATGATCTTATAGTCGTGAGACTGAGCCCCACATCAGGCTCATGCTGAGCATGGAGTCTGTTCAAGATTTTCTCTCTGTCTCTCTCTCCTTCTGCCTCTCTCTCTTTCCCCATCAAAAAAAAAAAATAATAATAATAACAGAAAGATATCTCGAAATATCCAAATATTTAGAAACTAATATACAAGTCAGAGAAATTAAAAGGGGAGTTAGAAAGTATTTTGAACTGATAATGAAAATACAACATATTAAAATATCTGGAATTCAATAAAGCAGTGCTTAGTAGGAAATCTATAGCACTGAATACCTATATTAGAAAAGAAGAAAAATTTTAAGTCAATAACAGCAGTTTCCACCTTAAACAACTAGAAAAGATACAAATTATACCTGAAGTAAGCAGAATAAAGGTCATAATGAAGACAAGAGCAGAAACTAATGAAATAGAAAACAGAAAAAATAAACTTCTAGCCACACTAAGCAGGAATAAAAGAAGACACAAGTTGCCAAATCAAGAATGAGAGAGGTGGTATCATTACAGATTCTATAGATATGAATAAATTATGAATAATTCATGCCAACAAATTAAAAAACTTAGAAGTGGACAAATTCCTTGAAAGACACAAACTACCAAAGCTCACTCAAGAAATAGGTGATTTGAATTAGCTCTATTTCTACTTGAAATTGAACTTAAGTCTTTCCAAAAGAAAACACTACTTGTTACTGGTGTCACTGATAAATTTTACCCAACATTTATGGAAGAAATAATACAAATTTTATAAAAACTCTTCCAGACAAGTGAATACTTCTCATAACATTCTATGAAGCTTGCGTTATTTTGATACTCAAACCAAAGAAAACATTAGAAGGAAACCACTGACCAATATTCCTCATGAACATAGATGTAAGAATTCTAACAGTTTTAGCCAATCAAATCCAACAATACATAAAAAGGATAATATATCATAACCAGGAGAGTTTTATTCCAAGAATACAAGCTTGGTTTAACATTTTATTTTTTTAATGTTTATTTATTTATTTTGAGAGAGAGACAGAGGCATAGAGAGAAAGAATCCTAAGCAGACTATGAACTGTCAGCATAGAGCCTGATGCAGGGCTTGAACTCAGGAGCCATGAGATCACGACTTGAGCAGAAATCAAGAGTCAGACGCATAACCCACGGAGCTACCCAGGCACCTTGATATGGTGAATTACATTAGTTAACTTTAAAATGTTAAACCATTTCGTGAGTTCAAGGCCCACATCAGCTCCATGCTAGCAGTGGGGAGCCTGTTTAAGATTCCCTCTCTCTCTCTCTGCCCCTGCCCTGCTTGCTCTCGCTCTCTAAAATAAATAAATAAACTGAAAAATTTTTTTCACCATATTGATGGGCTAAAAAATAGAAAAACTGTATGTTGGGGCGCCTGGGTGGTGCAGTCGGTTAAGCGTCCGACTTCAGCCAGGTCACGATCTCGCGGTCCGTGAGTTCGAGCCCCGCGTCAGGCTCTGGGCTGATGGCTGATGGCTCAGAGCCTGGAGCCTGTTTCCGATTCTGTGTCTCCCTCTCTCTCTGCCCCTCCCCCGTTCATGCTCTGTCTCTCTCTGTCCCAAAAATAAATAAAAACGTTGAAAAAAAAAAAAAAGAAAAACTGTATGTTTATTTCAATAGGTGCAGAAAAAGCATTTGACAAAATTCAACATCTATTTCTGCTAAAAAGTTTTAGCAAACTGGTTATAGAAGAGAACTTCCTCAACCTAATAAAGGACATCTATAAAAAATCTACAGCTAACATACTTAATAATGAAAAACCGAATTCTTTCCCCCTGAGATCAAGTACAAAGCAAACATGCTTGGTCTTACCACTTCTATTCAACATTGTAGTGGAATTTCTAGCCAGTATGCAAGTCAAGAAAAACAAATTAAAGGTAAATGGATTAGTAAAGAGGAAAAAAAAAACTATTTGTTGACATCATGATTATCTTTGTAGATAATCCCATGGACCTACAAAAAGAACTTACTAGAACTTACATGTGAGTTGAGCACATTTTCAGGATACATGATCATAGTGCAAAACTCAGTTGTATTTCTATATACAGTTGACCCTTGATAATATGGGGGGGGGGCACTGACCCCCATGCAGTCAAAAATCTGCATGTAACTTTTGACTATCCCACAACTTAACTACTAATAGCCTATTGTTGACTAGAAGCCTTACCAATAACATAAACAGTTGATAAACATATATTTTATATGTTATATGTATTATGTACTGGATCCTTACAATAAAGTAAGCCAGAGAAAGGAAATTGTTAGGGGAGAAAAAAATACAGTACTGTACTGTACTGTAAAAAAATCCATGTATAAGTGGACCTACATGGTTCAAATCTGTGATTGTTTAAGGATCAACTATACAAGCAATAAAGAGTTAGAAATTAAAATTACAAGAACAATACCACTTACAACAGCATAAAAATAAGAAATAGGAAAAAATTTGACAAAAAAATATAATAACTATACCATGATGACTACAGGACATTGGTGAAAGAGATTAAAGAAGGCCTAAAAAGATGGAGAGAGAAATATATCATGTTCATGGATCAGAATACTAGAGATTATTAAAATACTAATCCTCCCCAAATTGATTTAAAGTTTTAATACTATCCCAGTCAAAATCCCAACAGACTTTTTTTTGATAAATTGACCAAAGGATTCTGAAATCTATATAGAAATGAAAAGGACC